ACAGTATGACTTATTGCAGTATTAATAGTGTTTTAGCCCACCAACGACTTGGACGATGACGAAGACGACGCACGAAGCTGTAAGTTGAGTAGGCACGGGTCGCTTTGATTTAGGCATGGCTCGTCCAAGTACTCCAGACCGAGACCAGTCTGTATGGTTGGATCGGGTGCAATCACTTTAATAAACGCATCGGCGTCACCAACGGCAGGCAAGTAATCTGGTATGAACGGCTGCAATTTGAACTCAAGTTTTGTCTTCTGGGGGTAGTACCTAAAAACGGACACGTCTGCGAGCATATTACACTACCTACCCAGTGTRTACTACCCAATATGATGAAGATGTCTTACCGAGTTTGTCCTCAGCWATAATAATATATTTAAATACATCCTTATGTGCATTTTTGTAGTTCGACTTTTAAAATATTTTCATAAATTAGCTGTTTTAGCTGATTTGACACGTTAGTGGAAGAATCCAAAAATGTCAAACAAAAAATTATATAATGGTTATGGCTCACTAATAACGTCATCGTTTTCTATAATCATGTTTTTATATAATATTATATTTCTATACAAAAAGTTATTGGCGGGGACAAACACGTCGAGACACTCGTCATACAATATTGGTTTTACACATTAATTTATACGATTTATTGGGTATTTGATACTGACRGTTTTTAAGAAGTTAAATATAAGCAATTTCCCAAGTGTGTGCGTATAGAAAGTGATTAGTAATTAGTAATCACTGATTATTATTATGTGTAACACTGTGAGCGCAGTGTAAAAGAGATACTCATAATGCAAATTTACACGATCACAACAAATCTGTWATTAACGAAAACCTAACATTTTTAAATTTGATCAAAACATTTTTTTAAGTTTGCTATGAATTTTACTGTAGAGATTTATCACCACAAATTTTTTATTTCTAATTTAATTTTGTTACTTCACTATTTAAAAATCATTCAATTTTTATAAATCAAATTTAAAGGGAAGGTAAAAATCAAAAGTTTAATGATCGGTCTCAAATAAATTTATAAAGAATTTGAATTTATTTTTTTTTTCAGTTTTTTTTTATCACATCACTAGTTTAATCAATACGATGGATGAAAACATTTTCGTTAAAAAACGTTTGGCGTCGAATTCTCTTAAATACATAAGTATATAATACGCCATATATAGACTGTAGTCAAGGAGGTTTTAAGTCAGACCCCTCTCTAAAAATAACAAATTACATTCAAAATTTAAAAAATTGCAAGTAAAAAAATATATTTATACACTTATCCACCCCCCCCCTCCAAAAAAAAATAAAAATAAAAATAAAAAATAAATAAAATATATGGTGTACTTACATTGATATGTATTTGAATACGTCTTTAATATCTTGAGATAAGTGTAGAAGTTCGAYGTCTTTATTGTAATCCCTAACAAATATGCAATTTAAATCTATTTATATCAAAATATATTAAAATTATATATTTTACAAGGTTTTTTGTTATTAGATAAATACCATACAATGTTTTAGAACATATATATATTATATATATATATATTGATTCTAAACGTCATCATATTTTCAAAATATATTTTTGTTTATGAGGAACTCAATAAATTTGTATTTATAATGATTGCAAATAACGATTATTCTCGTATTAGTAGATTATTAGAGTTTTGTGATGTACAATAATTAATAATGAATTATTAAAATGTACAATAATATTAATATGTTTCAATAACTTCAACATAGTTAATATATCTTTTTACAAACGTATTCAACCAATACATTATTGTTTGAAATACGAGTACAATAACGTGTGTCTCAGGGGGGTTTATAAGTTTGACAGTTCTTAAGTATACATCATATATTTTTGTACACCAATAAATTATTTGAATTTTGATTAAACAATAYAAAGCTATTTTTGTATTACAGACATTGTAAAATTATTTACGTGAACATTTCTGTTTTTTTTTTTAATACCAATTTTTTCCTTCAAATTAAATAAATAAAATAACGATTAAATCTAATAAAGACAACATAATAATTGGACTTTTTATGTACCTAGTTAATATCAAGACTTATCACCTACCAGTTGGTATTATGAAATGAAAAAAAAATAATATTTTTTTGATAATTAAAAATGGATGAGGGATATGCTATTATATAATCATATTATATCACTTATTTTACTCGTATTTACATAATATAGGTATATAACTAACGAGGGGATTAAATCAGTAAATACGATTTGTTGGCATATAGTATAGAATGCATTATTCATTAAATTCGTTTCGTGTAGCTGTCCATGTGATTATAAATAAGGCCTGTTAATTATATATAAGGACCTAAGTCGTTAACAAATAAATTTAAAAAAAAATCATTTTAATACGACTTTAAGGTAAAATGTTTAGTGAGTATTGTCCRTGAATATCATACGATATATATTTACAAGTATGTGTAATGCATATAATATTATAATGTATAATATACATTACATTATATTATCTGACAAATTGACATTATAATCCTTCAGTAATTGACAAACTACGTGTTAAATGATGTGTGTTGTGTAATAATTGAAAAATGTATTATATATGTAGAAGAATAAACAATCTGCACGATTATTTCGCTCGAAGCAGAACATTATTAAATTTTAATGTACCTATTAGTAAAAAAAAAATCATCTCACTAGATTTTACCTCTGAGCTTCGTGCACGTCAAAATTGTCTGGATCTTCTTTCACGGCCGCTTCCACTTCTTCGTAATCCACGGCTCGAAGTCTGGACCTAGACCTCCGACCTGAACCACTGGACATCTATTCAAATATTAAATATATTAATAAGTTCACTCTATCATAATTTTAATACTATTCTACAGGGTGGAGCAGAAAAACCTCAGACAATTTCTAAATATATTAGGATAATCACCCATTTCACTATCCTTTCCTGTAAATATTTTGCAAACTTCAAACCGTTCACACAAAATTTAGTTAGAAGCATAATTTATAACTAGGATAATGAGAAGGAAGTAAATAATTTATCGTAAAAAATWTAATAAAGACATTTCTAAATATATGTACTATAACACTTAATAATTCATTCATTAAATAAATATTTATATCACAACAACAACAAATACAAAACGAACTCTTGCTATTGACAGAATCACTGTAACATAATATTATTTTATTTTTAACTCACCAAAAGTTTTCGCTGCTTGGCACTTGGCGTCCTCAGATCTCTACTGCTGTCATTGTCGATGCTGCTATCCGACGACTCACTGTCGACATCTTCAGCATCCTTTACGTCGATCTCTTCGTCGTACATTGTGTTTTRCAGTGATTCGGACGCAAAATTTATACTACAGTTTACGGCTTAAAGTTAATATTATAGATATGAATACGTATCACTGTTGTTCTCCGCTCAAAGGCCATAATCATATTACACTTAGATACACTTTATACACGCTTATACCCGATAACTACTGTTTTGGTTACCAGTGACCGGTGTTGCCGTTGGTAACTGCACTTAGATACCAGCTGCTGTCTTCTGTTGTACCCACGCTGCAGTCAGTGGTCGACGATCGATTTTTTTGAATGTACAAACCGCCGCATGCGTCGCCAAAGCGCTCTGCAATATATTGTATACAATGGGTACGTATTCAACAGTATATACCATAAGTACAATATTTATACAACGTTCTGATGTAGGTAGATTGATACATATCAATGTCATACCGACAAGTCATCAGTAATGGCTTTGAGCCCTAAAATTTCAACAAACATGCATACGTAGTATGGAGAATTGCCTCACAGTTACCTACTTCGAGATAATAATGCCATTTCACTATAACTTATGACTATCTAATAATATGAAACATAAATGTTTTTCGTAATCTTATGGATATATATTATCCTTATCTGGACCAATATCATTTTAAGTTTTAAAATTGCCATTTTTCCAGTCATTGTTTTATTTCCAATC